TTCCAGAGCTCAGGGTGTTCTGGAAGGTTTTATCTACTAATTGGGCGTGTTGTTATTGACTGCTGCACTCCTCCGGTCCTGTCAGATTTTGGTGAACAAGCTCTCTGTGGAGAAAAGCGAGAGAGAGGGGGAATTGTGCACCACAAATTGGCCGGTTTGGATCTGGAACACTCACCTGCACGGTTTTAAGCTGTTTGGAGATTCTCCTGCAGCTCCGTCCCACAGCTGAGTGGAGAGATTTGCTTAAAGCTCATAATTCTCTTTGATGTACTAGAATTTGCAGAAACAAATTTCACAGAATTTACCAAACGATGTTAATAGTAAACATACACGCCCCAAACCCCACAAGAGCTTGTTTTTGGAAGCAGTTTAGAAAACTTCACATATATGTGTGCGTTCACTGGTGAATGTGGAAAATATGCTCTTGCAAACACTGTTTTGCATGGAAGCTTGTTTTTTTCCACAGAATAAAAAAAAAATGGTAATTGAGAATTGTTATTTTAAAATTCTGACTTTTTTTCCCTGAATTCTGAGTTTGCTTCACAATTTTGACTTTTTTTTCTCATAATTCTGAGTTTAAATCTTGCAATTTTACTTTTTTTTCATAATTCTGAGTTTCAATCTTTCAATTTGACTTTTTTTCCTCATAATTCTGAGTTTAAATCTTGCAATTTGACTTTTTTTTCCTCATAAATCTGAGTTTAAATCTTGCAATTTTTCTTTTTTTTTCTCATAATTCTGAGTTTCAATCTTTCAATTTGACTTTTTTTTCCTCATAATTCTGAATTTAAATCTTGCAGTTTTACTTTTTTTTCTCATAATTCTGAGTTTAAATCTTGCAATTTGACTTTTTTTTCATAATTCTGAGTTTCAATCTTTCAATTTGACTTTTTTTCCTCATAATTCTGAGTTTAAATCTTGCAATTTGACTTTTTTTTCCTCATAAATCTGAGTTTAAATCTTGCAATTTTACTTTTTGTCCTCATAATTCTGAGTTTAAATCATTCAATTTGACTTTTTTTTCCTCATAATTCTGAGTTTAAATCTTGCAATTTGACTTTTTTTTCATAATTCTGAGTTTCAATCTTTCAATTTGACTTTTTTTCCCTCATAATTCTGAGTTTAAATCTTGCAATTTGACTTTTTTTCCTCATAATTCTGAGTTTCAATCTTTCAATTTGACTTTTTTTTCCTCATAATTCTGAGTTTAAATCTTGCAATTTGACTTTTTTTTCTCATAAATCTGAATTTAAATCTTGCAGTTTTACTTTTTTTTCTCATAATTCTGAGTTTAAATCTTGCAATTTGACTTTTTTTTCATAATTCTGAGATAAATCTTGCAATTTGACTTTTTTTCCTCATAATTCTGAGATAAATCTTTCAATTTGACTTTTTTCTCATAATTCTGAGTTTAAATCTTTCAATTTGACTTTTTTTTCATAATTCTGAGTTTAAATCTTGCAATTTGACTTTTTTTCATAATTCTGAGTTTAAATCTTTCAATTTGACTTTTTTTTTTCGTAATTCTGAGTTTAAATCTTGCAATTTTACTTTTTTCTCGTAATTCTGATTTTAAATCTTTCAATTTGACTTTTTTTCATAATTCTGAGTTTAAATCTTGCAATTTTACTTTTTTTCTCATAATTCTGAGTTTAAATCTTTCAATTTGACTCTTTTTCCTCATAATTCTGAGTTTAAATCTTTAAATTTGACTTTTTTTTTCATAATTCGTTTAAATCTTTCAATTTGACTTTTTTTTCATAATTCTGAGTTTAAATCTTGCAATTTGACTTTTTTTCTGAAATTTTGGATGTTTCAATCTTTCAATTTGACTTTTTTTTCCTCATAATTCTGAGTTTAAATCTTGCAATTTGACTTTTTTTTCCTCATAATTCTGAGTTTAAATCTTGCAGTTTGACTTTTTTCTTGTAATTCTGAGTTTAAATCTTTGAATTTTACATTTTTCATAACTCTGAGTTTAAATCTTGCAATTTTTCTTTTTTTCTCATAATTCTGAGTTTAAATCTTTCAATTTGACTTTTTTTTCATAATTCTGAGTTTCAATCTTTCCATTTGACTTTTTTTTCATAATTCTGAGTTTCAATCTTTCCATTTGACTTTTTTTTCATAATTCTGAGTTTCAATCTTTCAATTTGACTTTTTTTTCTCATAATTCGTTTAAATCTTTCAATTTGACTTTTTTTTCATAATTCTGAGTTTCAATCTTTCAATTTGACTTTTTTTTCTTATAATTCGTTTAAATCTTTCAATTTGACTTTTTTCTCATAATTCTGAGTTTAAATCTTGCAATTTGACTCTTTTTCATAATTCTGAGATAAATCTTGCCATTTGACTTTTTTCTCATAATTCTGAGTTTAAATCTTTCAATTTGACTTTTTTTTCATAATTCTGAGTTTAAATCTTGCAGTTTGACTTTTTTCTTGTAATTCTGAGTTTAAATCTTTGAATTTTACATTTTTCATAACTCTGAGTTTAAATCTTGCAATTTTACTTTTTTTCTCATAATTCTGAGTTTAAATCTTTCAATTTGACTTTTTTTTCATAATTCTGAGTTTCAATCTTTCCATTTGACTTTTTTTTCATAATTCTGAGTTTCAATCTTTCCATTTGACTTTTTTTTCTCATAATTCGTTTAAATCTTTCAATTTGACTTTTTTTCTTATAATTCTGAGTTTAAATCTTTCAATTTGACTTTTTTCTCGTAATTCTGATTTTAAATCTTTCAATTTGACTTTTTTTCTCATAATTCTGAGTTTAAATCTTGCCATTTTAATTTTTTTTTCTCATAGTTCAAAGTTTAAATCTTGCAATTCTGACATTTTTTTCTCTGAATTCTGAGTTTATGGTCATCTCGCTATTTTGACTTTTTTCTTGTTTACATCTCACATTTATTATTATTATTATTATTATTATTATTATTATTATTATTATT